GAACTTTTTCTATATCACACTTTAACAATCCAAAGATATAACATCGATGTCTATTATTCTTACGCTGCTGATTCTTTTTAGTTAGAAATACTACTGGTCACATAAATCATACAGGTAAATATAAGATATAGTGCGTCCATCATAATTATCTTTCTTTTGACGGCGTTTACTTTAACTTTAGATTCGTCACATCATATAGATTTTGGTAAGTAAAAGCGCTATTTTTCATTTTTAGTAAAATGTTCAAAGAATTATTAGTTGTAGAAAATACTCACAAGTCTATGAAGAATTTTACACTGTCTATTGCCTTTAGACCATCATCACTCTGATCATCATTCTGACGATCATTCTGATCATTCACCAACAATAACAATCAATCTGGATAATGTTATTCAATTGTTCAAACAAGCTTTACACGATTCAGAAGAAAGAATATTAACTGCTCTGCAACATCAATGCCGTCATCATAATGTAAATGACATTACAACAAGCACTAGCAACAGTACAAGTACCACAAGTATAAATTTAGAAACGAAGTAATGAATGATAAAGACTGACGATAATTAAATAGAAAAAAGAAAAATAGACTCAGGATGACTTTTTGTCAGAGACTTTCTTGTTATTACACGTTTGACTTTTTGGTTTTCTGCACTTATTCTTATTATTCACAGTAGTTTCTGTAGTATTGTATTGTATAAGTGATAAAAAAAGAGTATTAATACATATGTATTCCAACAATAGAGTTGAAGATCACGATATTTAATGAGGTTACAGAATATTTGGTAATTCAGCATCTATGTGTGTTGAAAGACACATTAGAGTTCTAGAGACCAATCTCGCTTCTAAAACAATCAGATAATGAGATGTCTTTTTGAATGAATAGTTTATAACGATGGATGTTATCTATACATTCTTATTCCAAATTTGTGTAAGGAAGTGTCGAGTTGAATCCTAAGGCTCAAAGTTCGAGTTTGACTTCAACATAAAACCATGAGCATACATGATGCATATAGAATAAATACTAGTAGGATGCATGGAAAGGTTGATTATTCAAAACCTTGCAACCAAAAGTTGCAAATAATGAATATATCGGAAACAAGCGCTTTTTATTAAAATTTTATCTGAAACTCGAATGTTGGGGTTAACAACATTCCTGAAATTATGCTTTACGATTAATCTTAAATCTGCCAATAGACGGCAATTAAAACGTGTATACATTCAAGCAAACAATTTATGCATCCGCTTTATCCATAGACATAGTACAGAAAAAGCAGCATATAAAAATTATGTTTATAAATCATGAGAAGTAATTTTTTGCAGGGGTTTACATAACAATGCTCGACGTTTATCAGATAGACAAGTTCAACATTCAAAAACACATCAAACATGTCTTGATAAATATGAGATGTTAAAATTTAGGCGAAACAGAGATAGATAATGGTGTGCAACTTAATCGTCGAGCATTGTTAGATAAATTCCTAGAAAAAAGCCGGGAAATGTTTCTAATACATAAAAACGCATACTGTAGTCGAGATTCTCGACAAAACTCCCGCGGGACTCCTGTCACGGCATCCTATGGGAGTCAGATGGGACTTTCAAAACTCCTAAGGACTCCCATGGGACTTTGAAGATTTTCGAGCCCTGCGGGAGTCCAACGAAGATTCTCAAAGTCCCATGGAGTCCTCAGGAGTCCCTTGAAAGTCCCATCTGACCCCCACAGGATCCCATGACAGGAGTTCTGTGGGAGTTTTGTCGGGAGTCTCGATGAGGGTAGTGCTTGAAGTTATAATTCCATGCACTATGATCGAGAAACAAATTTTCACGTTTGTTACTGATGATACTAAAAACTTTGACGTCAAATACGAAATGTGACAGTGTCCTGCTATTTAGCTGCATATAAATTTCGTCGCTTAACAGCGCACTCAATAGAGATGGCTGTTTCGCTCGATATCTATCTGGTACCTTAAAAAAAAGTGCTTCTTATTATCATTATTTTTTCTCTGCACTGTAACTTGGGTAGGAAAAAAGTTCCTGCGCGGCAAAGAGACCCGGCAAGACGCGTGTGGCCACGTGACTTGTAAAAATCATTGCCAATTCACCATGCCGCGTGACTTGCTTTTCTGCTTGATATTTTCTATAATAAAATGTATAATATTGTCATCTACTTTCCAGCTATCCTTCTAAAAGTTGTTTCTGATTTCTTTCAAAACAATAATTTTTCAGTATTATATATTATGCGTGTTTATTTTGTGTCAACCTACATAGCCATACGAAGAAAATAATACAAAAAACTATCTATTGAGAAAAATATATGATACGTGTAGCACATAAGAAAAAACACAAGATTTAACAGTAAAAACCAGTTTAAATAGTTATAGTTCCCTGGAACCGTAAGTCTAAGGTTAAAGCCTATCCGGGTCGACGACATTTAATGGTTCATTAACAGCCTGTTAACCGTATGCCAAAAAATGACCTGTTAATGTGTAGATAACGAATGAAAAGTGGCACTTAACAGCCATTATAATGTCTTTTTTTGACTAAATGACATTTTCGTCCATTTATTAGACAGTTACATAATATATAATGCCAAACAAATGTGTTTGTTAAATCTTCGTTTGGAGGCAGTTTTTTCTCCATTTCAAAATGGCAAAAAACTGATCACAAATTAACATTTAACAGTCAATTTAGGGTCACCACGTCATTCACCGTTTTATTTTGCCATCATGACTAGAATAAATGACACTGATTTTCCTAAAGAAATTTAGATTTTTTCTCTTCTTCAATTGGACGATCCATAGAAACTTATCTCGAGGAAGCCGTCTGTGGTTCTGGGGTTGGTGCAGATGAACGTACCTTAGGCTTCAGAAGATATTAAATGGAAAAAATTTGGTAAATAGTATTTTGGGCGGTATCAATTAAAAAGAAGCCGTACCTAGAGAACGTCGATAAAGTCACAATTAACTGGCAATTAATGTGTAAAAATGGCCTAAAACTGTTAGTATTAAATGTCTATTTTTAGACATTTTTTGCCATTTAAATAAATGTCACTTTAAGACATTAAAACATTAACCAAGACAACAAAAATATAACTAATGGGGTCGAATGGCAAAAAAATGCCATTTAAATGTCTATTAATGGTATCTTAACAGGCATTTAATTGGCCATTAATACATCATTTTCGACGTTCTGGATAACCTTAGACTTACAGTCAAGGAAATAATAGTGGACTTTTGCTGTATTTCATTTTTTCGAAAAGACAAATATCGACTACGGAGCATCTTTACACACAGCATATATAAGCTATTCCTTGAATTCTTTTATAAGAAAACATGAGAAATTGCACTAGTTTTGGGTGACTGTATGTAAAATCGCGCTCGCGTAAGAATTTATATATATTGCGTTCTTTGCCATATACGTGTTGCCTTAGATGTGTTGGGATCTATGTTCTTTACTTTAAGGAGAATTTCGAAAACTACAAAAGTACTTGCATTCCTATTCATCACACTATTGAAGGGCATACTTTTCTTCAACATTTTCTATTTTTCAGATATAATCTATTAAATCTCGATGTCTGTGTTGTTCACACTGGTCCACTACACAAATAACTAGATTTTTGAAGCATTTGACTAGGATTCCCGATCAGGGAAAACAGGGGTTATTGGCCCCTCGCTATAATTCTGACAACACTTTAGTAATTCTATATATGAATTCATAGCATTTGATAGGTTCCTAAACGATTTCCTGTGTTTCGTAGGATCCTGTATAATGCAGGGTTACCAATTTAGTTCGCTTATAGTCCAACACTTTAAAAGTTCTTATGTTAACTTATCAAAATCTTATGAACTCTTCTAAACTAATTATATAATCTATCTTACCGAATTCTTATCAGAATCTTATAACATTCTTATATTCCTTCTTTTAACAATCTTATCAATATCTTACGCATTTCCATCGACTGCTTTATATAAGATTCTTATAATATTTCTATAGAATTGCCGTAAGTTCGGTCGCCTAGAGCTGTGACCGGTGCATTATGACTGTCATGAAGAATCAGAGATTTTAAGTCTGATCTATTTGGTGCACATAAACGAAAATTCTTCATTTGTGGTTCAATGAAATAAAGTAAACCATCATTGGAAATATATTCTTTAAGAATTCGTTTAATATTCTGATCTTGTGGATATGATTCACGATTATTTTGAATGTCAATAATATGTGAAAAGTGTAAATCAAACGAGTACGATGCTATAAACTCATGATGTAACTCAGGTGAAAGAGATAAGACGGAAATATTACTGATTACATTTAGGATACGAGGAAAAATAGTTAGAAACGGCACGAAAAACGCGTTTTTTCCGTTAGCGAACGATCGTTAAAAGAGCCGTTTAAACGCGCTTTTTGTCGTTCAAAACTTTAGAACAACGCGTTTATTAATGATCATTGAATTAACCGGTTTTCGGCGTTTTTGTTGAACGCGTTTATTTTATATAAAAACGCGTTTTAACGTACCGTTCCTAAACGCGTTTACAAAAAGAAAAAAATTCGAAGGTATATCATTTTAACCTCGTGAGAAAACGCGTTCAGCAAAAATGCCAGAAAACAGTTAATTCAACGATCGTTAACAAATGCATTGTCAAAGAACGCGTTATTCTAAGTTTTGAACAACAAAAACGCATTTAAACAACTCTTCTAACGATCGTTCGCTAGCTCATTCGGAAGAAATGCGTTTTTCGTTCCCATTCAAATAACAATGTACCTTTTTAGTTGACTAAACTACAGCTAAGCATTCGATTTCAGTAATGCCGTAGTTTTTCCCAGCTGAAGTTAACTGTCTGGACAGATAACAAATTACTTTCTCCATATTATCGGGCTGTTGTTATTGTAAAATAGCTCCTAATCCGATAGTGTCGGTATCAGTATATAATTTAAATGGACGAGTATAATCTGGTTAAGCCACTGCTCCTGTATTAGCTCAACCAGATTATACCCGTCCATTTAAATTATAATACAGGTATTAGAGCACAGTGATTGGGTTTGATGGTACAGCATTTTGCGACATGAACTGTACGATTTGACTTCATCTGATCATCTTTAATTGTGGATAAATCAAAAAGTGTGTTACCCGTGGATTTTAACGTAAAATAATTTTCTGATAAATCAAGTTTTGCACCACCAGTGCATTTTTCAATGCTTCCAATGCCTCCTGCTCTTCTGCGTTCATGTCCACAGGATGTTAATGGCCGAGCAATTATAGCAAAGTTTTGGATGAATTTTCTGCAGTACATGTATAGGCCACACAATTGTTCCACCTGTTTTTGATTCTGTGGTACTAGCCAATCACGAGCAGCATTTAGTTTTTCTTTATATGTTACTAAACCCAGATGGATAATCATGTGTCCTAGTGCCTCCACTTCTCGGTAAAATAAATGAGTTTTAGCCAAACTAAGAGTGATGTTCGTTTTAGTAAGTAATGGAAGAATTTTGTCACATGGTTTTAAGGTTCTTCAAAGGTGGTGCTGGATATAATCAGGTCATCAACATAAACAAGAGTCAGTTTCCAATTTTCACCTGGTAACATTCGATCCAAGACTCGTTGAAAAACAGGTGATCCATTTTTCAACCCGAATGGCATTCTTCTGTATTGTTTTAAACCCACAGGAGTCCTAAAGGCTTTCTTTTCGTTATCGGACCCTGATTGAAACCTTTATAAACATTAAATGTGCTGAACTACCTCTTTTCGCTAAAATGAGTTAATATATCTTCCATTCTCGGATTGCATTTAGTTTACGGTAATCAACACACAGGTTCATAAGAGGTTTGTAAGAAATTCATAAGAAGTACCAAAAATTCTTATATTATTCTTATTTACTAAAAGGCAGCTTATGAGTTGGTTTTGCTGATTTCTGTTATGATTAAGTTGCTTCTATTGGCTGGAAAACTTCTCTGAACGTCTCTGAGAGATAGGCAGAGCATCGCCTGTCTAAAGAGATATCTTGTAAAGTTCTGTACATCGTATATTCTATTTAGTATGAGTAAACGCTTTACAGTTATTTCTAAGCAGAGTTTTTATCTTTTCGCTTTCGTCGTCAGTTAAATGAGGATTAATATCTGCTTATTGTATTGCTTTCTCAAATGAAGATTTGTCTGATTGTAACACTCCATACGCTAAATTGGCCGAATTAACTACTTCGCCTTTCCTTTTCTTGAACCGTTCATTATTTTCAATACGTTCATCATGAAGTAACCTTAAAGACTGATTGTCTAGATTCTGTCTCAATAAAGTAAATACTTTGATGATCATTAACAACTGAGTTTGTTAGTTTAGCAGCTACTGTTCCATTTCGAATAGGAATTGATTCAATGAAATTTTGTAGTTGATCACTATAGTGATACCTGTATCATTCATATCAAATATATTTGATATGAATGATACAGTAAGAGAAGTATAACCAAAGCAGCGGTTTTAATCATTTTGAATTTCCAACGTTTCGATTTATTAAAAAATCATTGTCAAGGATATATACAGAAAAACAGAAGATTTTCTTTTAAACTGAATGGTATAATTTAT